GGGAGGAGGGGGAATCCAGCTTTCACATCTGCTGTTGGGACACAGTATCTCAGTAGCTGAAATAAAGGTCCTGATAGCAGTGTGGCAAATTCTTTGTCTCTAACAACAACCCATCTCAGAGCAAGGGGCAATCTGACCTGCTGGGAAGTCGGACAGCATATGTTATAAAATGGCATATCCTCTTTGGTGCTTACTTTTTTGAGCACCAGTGGCAGGGGGTTTTCTCCCTCTAACAAATTGGCACTTTCAGAATCTGCCTCTCTGCCGGAACTGCTCATAATGACTGATACAAAGTGACCAGATTTCAGCAGCTCCTTTAATAAACCTGCAAACAAAGAACAAACAAGTAGCGCAGTAGGGGTGCAGAGGGTTACAAAGCACCACATCATCATGTCCTGGCCTCACCAAGGCAGTGACCTTCCTACCTACATCCATACAAACTATAAATTCTCTCTGATCACATTCAGGGCCTTTTTTCTGGCCATGTCCCCACGTGCCTCCATGATTCATCACTTCGGTATGTTATGCTCCACACCCCCAATTCCCTTTGCTATTTCCATTCCCTCTTCACTTTCCATTCCCTTCCATATTGGGTGGACCTTTCAGTTGCAATTGTACCAGTTCCCTGGAACTGCCTGTCCCTCTCCTCCTGCCTGAGCTCTCATCTCCAATCTCTTGCTGAAATGCAGCTTAAAACCCACTATCTCCCCCCATCTATAGCTAGAGACCCACAAACCAGTTTTTCCCACCACTACTTCCTTCCATCAACCCTTTGCTCCTACTACTATCCATTCACCCTACCTGCTCCCCACACCCTCTTCCTTTAACAGTCCCACTTCTCTAATTCTTCTGCACTTAAGATTACTGATGCAAATCATAATTGAGAGACTTCAAGGGCAATGCTCCAGAGTGAGTTCAGAAGCAGTGCAGCCAGGGCTATTAAAGTCAACTTTGAAAGGACTCAGCAGCTATACATGTAAATGACTTATTAAGTTTGCAAGGCAATCAGATTGCTATTCACCTTCTAAAGAGGAGAGAGAGATCATAGTGCAGTTTGCACATGAGCTGTGGGAGCAAGGCTGAGATCCTATATAACATCACTATTTTACAGAGAGCAATGATTCTGACTGCATTGTCCAGCAACTTTGAAAGAACTGATCTCTGCTCTGCTCTAACCTGAACAAGAAGTCCCATTACTGTGAAAGTCCCATTCCTCAGATTCAGTCCTGCCACCCCATAAAGTCTTGTCTTTGAAATCAGTCACTATACAACAGAGGTTAGCTACCTCTTGCTGCTGTAGGCCAGAGCTTGTACCCTGGCTCTCTGCCATGGGTTGCATATATCTGTGGCACAGCTGTGCCACCTGATTGCCAGTTCTGCCATGGGCTAGGTTGGACCTTTGCAGGCCAGATCCAGGCCACAGGTTGCCAATGCTTGCTGCAGAGGATTGTTATATTTCTAGAAAAATTAGGACAACTGATTGGGACAGGTCATGCCACAATGCAAATTGTGGGACTTAGATGAAAGTGACAGCAAAAACTATGGTGTTGGTTATAGCTGTGTTGGTCTAAGGACATAGGCAGACAAAGTTCTTTGGGGTAAATGTGACATATTTGATTAAACCAACTAAATAGTTGGAAAATGTTCTTCACAAGGTTTACAAGTTTAAGGAGACCATACAAACACCAGCAGACTCTCCCCATGCCTGAAGAAATGTATTTGTGCCTGAAAGCTTGAAAAGAACAATTTTTCCAACTATTTAGTTGGTCTAATAAAATATATCACATTTACTTAAAGAGTCTTATCAGTAATTACTATGGAGATTCTAGTAATAAGGCCGGGCTAGGTGTCAGGGGGTGGTGTTCCCTTGTGGGTACCAGGAGGATTCAGCAATGAACCTGGCTGGGGCTTGTGATTACTGTGTGAGAACAGAAGAGATCAGCAGCTGTGGACACATTCATTCCCCTTCCACAACAATCCAACTAGCTTGCAGGCTGCTATTTCACAAAGCTCTAAAGAATCACCCCAAGTAAAGCGCACAGTACGATCTCAAATCTACCAGTGAAGAACCCTCTCCACCTTATGATCTTTTAGCCGTGTCTTACCCATGCAATTAGCCTGCAGCTCCTTTGTCTGTGCATTCCCCAGGGTAGCTAGAAAGAGGCCACACAGCTTCTCTGTGAAGTGCACCGAGAGCTTCTCTGCACCGATGGAGGAAGAGTACAGCTTCCCATACAGATAGCAGACAGATGCCTTTACACCCTCATTGGGGTACATCAAGCCTGTCAACAGGTGATCCACTAAGTTACCTAAATCAGTGAACAATAAATGGGATTGGTGTCAGAAAACACAAGGACCTGCCATTTCTAAATCAGCCTGTCCACTTCAGAAGACTCCAAAAACTATTGGCATAGTTCTGTGCATGCTGGCTGACTTCTTCCCTTAGTCCAGTCAAATATTTTGGGATTTCTTCTGTGACTCTGATACCCTCTGTGATGCTCTGAGCAGAAACACAATAGCAATTATCTGTGGAACTCCTTGTTGAGCCACACAAAGGTACAGCATCACCGCAAATTCCCACCTCCCACTCAGAAGTGAAGCATGATCACCTCAACAACCCTGTCATGGGAACTGAAAGGAAACTAAATGCCCATCTCTTCCAAGCCAGACAACTGTGAATTATAGTTCATTGAAGCTGGACTTCACTGAGCAGACAGGCAGGGAGAGGAGACAGGTAAGCTGGGTTCAATTTCTGTCTTTGCCACAGATTTTCTGTGACCTTGAGAAAGTCACTTAGTTTAGCATGTGTGTATCTCCACTTTTGCTAGCGCCTCACAACACTACCATGAAGCACATTCCCTCATACTCACCATGTGCAATCACTAACATATCAGCAAAGACTGGGATAGCATCAGCCAGTTTGCCCAGAAGAATAAATGTGGGCAGACTGCCTCTCATGGTGGCTGGCTTGTATAACTGTGGAGAATACAGAGGGAAGAAAAGGAAACATGGATGAGAATGCAGCCCAACATGGGAAATGCATGCAAAAGAGGAAGTGTCTCTCTTAAAGAGGGGCCTTCTCATTCAGTGGCATCCACTTAGTTGTTTAAGATAAATCGAGGGAAGATTCTCCATTTATCCAGACAATTCTTCCTGAACAGAACCCTCAAGTCTTCTAAATACAGTTGCAATGTCCTAACTCCTGGGTTTTCCTCTGGTGCCACACTCTCATAGAAGGGGGCCCCCAAAGCAGGACGCTTGCCCACAAAGCTGCTACAATAATGGAGGCAAAAGAGAAACTACAGAGGAAGCCCCACAGCTACAGTGTTGTGAAAATGATCAGAAAAGTACCAGAGCGGAAGTCAGCATTGCAAAAGGCAACGCCCCTGCCACTGGTGCTCAAAAAGGCAGAGGCAGGACACTTCTGTGGGCCCAGTCACAAAATAACCTAACTTCACAATCCCTCAGATTCAAACACAGAGAACCATGGTAAGGCAGAGAAACAACACTGACCTCTTTCTGGCTTTCATCCAACACATAGTGTATGTACTGCTCTGACTTCAGCTCCATGACAAGCATTACCAGCACTGCACAGAGGAACCAGGATCAGTATCATATAGTGACATTTATTTAGAATGTAAGCAAGTGCACAAGGAGCCTTTACAGCAGCTTTCATTAGACCATGCCAACGCTGATACAGCAGGGTGACACCTGGATTACCTTTGCTATTATTTCTGGCATCCACCCCTTCCCCCAGCTTGATCATTCTCTAGTGATGTCAAAATAATCCTGTGCCCATGACAACACAGTACATTCTGTGTGGAAATGACCTTCAACTCACAACTGAATGTGTTAGAACAGGGCTGTCCAACTTCTGAGTGGCTAGGAGCCACAGGTCCCACACTGCACAAACAACATGCCAGGCACCCCCCTGCTGCCACACATAACATAGAGTTCTCAGGCCCCCTAAACCCCTGTCAGCAAGCTCCCTTGGCCACGTGGGCTGCATTGCCCTGCCCCTGGGGATGTGGGGCAGGAAACAGGCTGGAGAAGGGAGTAGGAGCCCAGAGACTTTGGCAGCAACAGGAGAGCAATAGGGGGAGCAATGCCTGGACTCAGAGCCCAGGAACTGCATGCAGCCCATGGGCCACCAGTTGAACAGCCATGCCTTAGGCTCATCAAGCAAACGAGATAAACCAGAATGAGAAAGAATATGTCCCTTGCTTAAAGCACAGACACCCTCAATAATTAACGCAAAGGGCAAAATCCCCATAGTACAAAGCTCTCTTATAAAAACATGTTCCAAGTCTAGACCAGAATAACTGAGCTGACAATCTCTAAATATCATGTAAAAAGCCCTAATCTCATGGTAGATCCGCTTTCACAGACATGGGCATAATATCAAAATAATTTATGCCAGTTGTGGTCATTTCTCACGCTAAGCCCTATTTCTACAACCTGGTATCCCTACATCTTTGGGTGCTTTTATACCTTTCCATCAGCCCTGCCTCAATTAAGAGTTGTTATTCTTAGCTCACTGCAATTGCAAGAAATCTCTGCTCCATCTGTTCCAGTGAAAGAATGGAAGCAGAAATTAACAGGATACTACTCTTACTAGATGCCAATAATCAAGGGCTTTACTAAGTAAAACAAGTGAGATGCATGAAGCAAGGAGCGCTGCCTTCCCATTAAGAAATGTACATGACCTCTTCTGCCAGTTAGTCTGTGCAGCAACCAAAGCCATTTTTTATGCCTTTAGACCACTAATTACCTTTTTCTCCCTTAAACTCCATGGATCTATAAAAATCTTCACATGTAGACACCACAAAGTTAAACTTCTGGTCTGAGCACGTGCATGTTTCAGAGGACTGGTAGTGAAGTAGAAGCTTTTAATTTCTTCGTCACCAGTTTGAATCTAAACCATGTCACTAGTGACTAAAAATGGTTACTCTCTGTAAAATAAACTGGTCATTGTCCTAGTCCAACTCTTTACATTTTTAGGAGAGAAACACCTGCACTGCTAGGAAGCCTGATTCAAAATCCTCTGAAGTCAATGGAAAAAAGCCACTGATTTCAGTAAGTCTACAATCAAGCGCATGACAATTACCACACGTATAGAGGAAATATTCATATTTAAGCCCCTTTCCCTGCACTCCCTTCTGAACAGGCCTTCAAAGCACCCCCAGCAGTGAAGAGAGCAGCTGCTCTATAGAAGTGAAACTGTCCAACTGATATAGACTCCCTTTCTCAAAGCATCAGGGACTGAGACCCAGCATCTTTCTTTCACCTTCAATGGACAGGTCCAGTGCACTGTTGTCTTCCACAGTATGCAACATCCCTGAAAAATCAACCCACAGATAAATGACAGTCACATAACATATCCCTGCATCTGATAGTCAGTGCTGTGGTCTCTAACTTTAAAAGGAGCTGGGGATCTTTCAGGATTCTTTTCCCCATTTATTTACTTTGCTTCACATGGACCCAACCTAACTCCATGGGCAGGACAGACTGGATGTTACTCCTGTAATGCCTGGGGCACCTAATATCCAATCATAAGTAGCTGAAGTGTGCAGCCTACCTTGCAATCTCCCACCAGCTTGTTGTGTTTTTATTTTTAGAAAGCATAATGTAAAAAATTGTTCGATGTTTGCTGAAATATTTGGATCCACCTCTGTAGATACATATGTTACCTGCATCAACATGCTGGAGTATCTGTAAGTGATATTATTAAATCTACATCACAGAAGTTCTTTCCAGAACATCCCTAACGCATTCCCAAGGATCACAGAAATTAGAGATTGGCTGTGAGGTAGACCTCTTCAATCTTACATCCATTCCTTGCATGACCAACTCTGTTTGCTCACAGTACTGAAAGTTCCCAAAGGTCTTGCCCAGGCCATATTGAAACATGGGTATTAAAATTTCAAGTGCCAGTGGAGATTACTATAGGAGTTAAATGGAGTCTGTAGTTACAACAGTGTTTCATGCAAATTTAAATTTTCACAGCTGGAATTTAAGATTTGGCATATTATATTAAACCACTGTCACACCTCTGGCTCTACCAGATTAGTCTGCTCACTCATTGTACCATAGTATTGTACAATGGCCAACACCCTAATCTAATCTGGTCCAGAACCCTTTCTTTTGACACACCAAATCATGTCTATAGATGCACATAGTCCAGCATTGTGCTTCTGATGTTCCAAAAGGAGAAAGTCCCCCTCCCATCAAACACCTAACCAGCAGAGCAATTCTATGACAATGGGTGTGGAGAAACCAGTTTTACATTCTATTTTATCCCATTCCCTCCAGAAATTATCTTCTTGCATCTTGAAATAAAATCAGTGAGCTGTATTTTGAATATTGTAGTATAAACTTCCTCTGTTTCTTCAAGAAATTCCAGCTCACATGCTTCCCAGTCCCAGCCCTTCACAACAGCCTACACCTCCACTCATCTGATCACTCGCATCTTCCTCCTCTTCAGCTGCTTCTGCCTACATTCCTCCTTTAACTCCCTCCTAATTTTAGCCCTTTTCCCAGATTATTTTCTAGTAAGACCACCTTCCACAATGATTCATTTGACCTTTGCAACTGCCTCCCACAAACTTTTCATTCATTCAACCCGTCTTCAGCAGGTATTGCCTTTATTATTACAGCAATGCCAGATTTCCTACTGAGGATCAGGATCCTGCTGTTCTGTGTTATTCAAGCACACAGTAAGTAAAAGACAGTCCCTGCCCCAAAGCCTTTCAACCATAAACTTATCCAAATGCAGGGAATGGATATTTTAAAAAAATGCAATAAAATTTAAAATGAAACATTTGGGTCTTCATATGTGTTTAGTGCAACATCTGCTGTATCTAGGTCAGAACTTCCTGTAAACTTTCTGGGCAGAAGCTCCTTCCATGCTTGAAGAGGAGCAAGTGCACAAACTGGGCTCCGCATAAACATCTCTAACTCCGATTATTAAAGCTACAGCAGCACTTTGCTCCTCATGCACAGCACAGGATGCAAAAAATGTATGCACTGCGAAAAAGACCACTGATATTAGAGGCAGGAACTGACTTCAGATGTATTTTCCTAGAAAGAGCAAGACAAACATGAAGCAATAATGTTTGGGAAGCGTCTAGGTAAGTGCAGGGAATTATATATTAACTGAAACAACTATTCGTTGGGAACTCAATGCACCACCCCTGCCTTTGTTTCAGTATTCCATCACACAGCAGGCTACCATCTTGGTCCATATTTTTGCCCATATTCCACCCTTGGCTGTGACATGAGTGAAAAATAGAAAGGTCAAAGAACTAGGCAACACCACAGAGCCTAATTTTATCCCCTCATCCCTCACAATACTTTGCTGACCCCAGTGAGAATGAAGCAGGTGCTATTCCTACAGCTTTAAGGTCTACAAATTTAAAATGGTATGAAAAGGCATCACGTGGGTTTGCATTCTGGAAAGAGACACACCAGAACAAGAGTCTCTACTCCATAGCAAAAAAGGAACCAGAAGGAACCATGGGCATACTGGTTCTCTCCCGAGTACAGAACATAACAAACATGCTCTGAATGAAAAAACCAGTGCAGGGTCTTCCTTAGGAGGCAAGGGAATTCTCCTAACATAGACCGCTGTAAGGCAGAGTACAGAACCAAGAGACCATGGGGGCAAAGGAAACCCTCAGATCTTCCCACCTGGCCTAGAAATGCAACTATCAGATCTGCCTTTCCCCTGAAGGTTGTCTGAAGGGATGGCTCTTACCAAACAGGGTTCCTATGAAATGGACACACACCCTTTCGTCCTGAGCCAGCAGCTGGATGACTGGCACCACGTGCCACGCCAGGATGTCACGGAAGCAGGACAGCACATGCTTCCTTCGCACCAGCTGGGGGTTAAAAACAAAACCGAACCAACCTCAGGTTCACTGCAGGGATGGACAGGCAGGGCTCACCCCAGGGCTGAGGGGGTGGGCGCAGGCACCCCTTAATTTTGGCTCTGGGGCTGATAATGCCAGAGGCTAGTGCACTACTGCTCCCAGTTGGGGGTTCAACTCCTGGGTAACTCCCATTGCACCCCGGCCTGCCCGGGCAGCGTCAGGGGCTGGGCTGTGAGGGGCAAGGACTGGGCTGTCACATGGGCAGTGAGGGGACAACGCTGCGGGGACAGGAGTGGAGAGACTGCTGAGGAGCCTGCTGAGGGGCAAGGGAGTGGAACTGCTGCCCCATCCCGTTGGGACCAAGTAAGCCAGGCCCAGGGGAGCTCCGGCTGTACTGCTCTGGTCCATGCGCCTGCAAGGTGTGGATCTCTCAAGCCCTGGGCCTGGCTTCAACCCAAGGCCGTCTCTCTACACCATTCCTCTCTGCTCCTAGCTGTAACAGGAGCCGGGGAGGGCAGGCAGGGGAGGGCACGACTAGGGCGTCCCCAGAGAGAGGGGGGAGGGGAGGAAGACACCACGAGCCCCCTCGCTCCGCACCGAGGCGCCGCCGTCGCCCAGCACCTCAATGACACAGGCCAGGCACAGTGGCGGCTGCAGCTGCAACAGCCAGCGCGGGTCGTGGCGTGGGTGCAACCGCTCGCACACCAGCAGCGACGCCTCCATAACGCTGCACCAATTTGGCGGGAAACCCCATACACATGCGTAGCTTGGGGGCGGGGAGAGGTAACACCCGGGAGGGCGGGACACCTTGCGCATGCGCGGGGTGTGTGTGACGCAATCTGCGTGTTTTATGTTCACATTGGGCTGGCGGACGGAAGAGCGTGCGTCAGGCAGCCCTGGCGTGGGGACCATGGTCGGTCTGTCTGTCTGTGGCATACGCACCCGCACCTGAGCCCACCACCCCTGGGGCATCGCAGCAGCCAGGACTAGGACCCCAAAGCACAAGAGCAGGATGTAAAAGGCATTGGCCAATGCAGTGAAGCAGGCACCCACCCTGCAGCTTCCACAGAGAAGCAATAAGGGCCACTTCAGTAGCAGACAGGGCAGAGGAGGGAGATCTGACAGGGAAATCCAGGTGGGGGCAGAAGAGAAGGGCTTGGGAGAGAAAGAGGGAAAAGAAGTAAAAGTTCCAGCAGGAGCCAAGGGGAGGAAATGGGGAGGGGGCAAGGAGAAGAGAAACAGGTCCAGATGGTATCAGCTGAGGAAGTGAAAAGCCCAGAGCAGGAAATAGGTGGGAGAGGCAGAGAGAGAGTGGCGGAAAAGAGACGGTGTGAAGATGAGAGAGGAGGTGAAAAAGCAGAGCAGGGAGACAGATGGAGAGAGACACGAAGGATTCAAAATAGTGGGTGGAAGAGGGGAAGTAATGGAAAGAGGAAGACTGAAGAGCAGAATAACCAAGGGGGAGATAGAAGCAGGAGGGCAAAAAGAACAAAACCTAAACCCTGACATGGTGTTCACTGGCATTCTTTCAACGTAGCCCGTGTTCTATGGGTGACTCAAGCTATAAACTGTTATATGAGTTTACAAAGCCCAGCCAACCATTTCTCTCTTGGAGTAGGTAGAAATAAACAATCCTTTGCTTAATGCATCAGTACACTTGAGCCAGCCCTGCATTTGGTGGTAATTTGGCTACATCTACTAGTTAATCTGGTGTTGGTGATTCTGTGCCCAGTGATCCAAAAGGAAGGCTCACAATACTATGTTTCTCATCAGTCAGGACAGCCTAGAAATCAGCTGCCCACTGTTAAATGGCCTACAGGTTATATGTTTGTTTGGTGTAAGGAAACAAACAATGAGAGAGATATAATGAGAGAGATAAGGAGGCATAAGTGTCTTAGTGACTTTCTCTCTCTTGGGTACTTTAACAGATTCCACCGCTGTAGCATCTGAGTATCTCACACTAGTTAATATATGGATCATCAAAGCCTTCCATGAAATAAGGAAATGCTGTAATCCAGGGGTTGGCAAGATGCAGCCCGTGGGCCAGATGCAGCCCACCAAGCCATTCTATCCGGCCCACAGGGCCCCTAAAAAATCTAGAAAATTAATATGTATCTGCCCCTGGCTGCCTGTCATGTGGCCCTCGATGGCTTGCCAAAGCTCAGTAAGCGGCCCTCCACCCAAAATAATTGCCCGCACCTGCAGTGTAATCCCTTTTCTAATAGATGGGCAACTGAAATTTTCTCAAAGCCACAGAGAAAGTTGGTAGCCAAGATTGGACTTGAATCCAGGTGTCCAAAGTTGAAGGCTGGTGGCCTAATTACCAGCTCATCCTCTCTCTCCACTTCAGGAATTGTTGCAATGGCCCTACCCACATTTGAGTATACATACTAGTCACCCCTTTCTGGATAGGGGAGATAGAATAGAAGTTAAAGATATGTGAAATATCGCAGGATAAAGGACGAAAAAGAAGGGGTTGCAACAAAAAGGGTGCCTCTGTGTCTCCTGAAAATACAGCAGTAATTCTGTTTCTAAACTGTTTTACTATGGAAACCCAGGCAGAAACTGGTAAGTAGGGATCAAGACAAACCATATCAACCAATACAGAACACTAGGCCTGATTTACCAACGTACTGTAGCTCTTATTGACTTCCATGCATGGCTGTTCTGAAAATCAAGTCTTAGCATGTTTTATATATAAAGAAGACTTTATGTCTAAGGGTCTTTATGTGTGTATGTGCACATGCATGTATTATATACACACACACTTAGTCACAGACATGAGGCCATCTCTATGTACACAGGCTAAGGCTTGAGATATCTAGGCATATGGAAGTTCAGTATGAGGGCATATTGTGTCCATTCCCCACAGCCATCCCCTGGACAGCAAGGAACTGCTCTGCACTGTATTCTTCAGGATGCTGTCATAGTGTCCACCTCCCACTTTGGGAAAGGATGCCACAGTCCAAAAGATATCCTTGTTGGAAAAACAAGGTGAGAGCTATCCAAGTTGTACCTTACATCATTGGCTGTGTGAAGGAGCCTGGCTTTCTGTACCTCTTCTTCTTTGGCAATCCCTCATAGCCAAGGATGACTGTCTTCCATGATTGTCTTATCTGTCTGTCTGAAGATGGCTGATGAGGTTTATTCAGTATCAACACACTCTAATGAAGCTTGGACATGTGTTTCTGTGTGGGGTGGGTGGATCTTGATTCTTGGTCCGCAACACGCTGTTTCTGCCACTACCACATTTCCATCTCGTTGTTGTCATGAGGTTTCAGAGTCCTGCAGCAGACTCTTCCTCTGGTTGGGGAGGTCCTGGGCAATTGTCTCCTAAGAGTAGACATAGATGTTGCATTTTTTTCAGCTGGTCTTGAGGACATCCCTGAAGTACTTTCTCTGCCCTCCTCTTGAGCCTAAGCCTTGACTGAGCTGGAAGAATAAAACTTGCTTGGGGAGTCTGGAGATGGACATCCAGATGACACGGCCAGCCCAATGAAGCTGATGTTGGATGGTCAACATCACCTCACTAGTGGTGGTGTTTGCTTCCAGAAGGACACTAACGTTGGTGTGTCTCCCTTCCCACTAGATTCAGAGGATCATCCACAGGCAGCACTGATAGTACTTCAACAACTTTAGATGTCTCCTGTACCTTACTCTGTGAGGCAGCCTGGCTTTCTCCACCGAATGCACTGGAAATCAAGCTCGGCACTGACACCTCCCACACCTAAATTAAACCCCGGTTTGGCGCAGGGCAGTGAAGGGGCTGTGACTGCCAGGACCCTTTCAGCTGCAAGCAAAGCCGCGTTCTCTCCTCCTCTGTACCAGGCTCCGCTCGCGGGCAGGGGGCGCCACCCACGACATTTCCAGGCGCTCGGAGGGAGGGGTGGTTTGGGTTTTTTTTTTCTAAATTAAAAAAAAAAAAAAGGAGAGAGAAAGCGCGCGCGCGCTGCCTCTTTAATCCGAGACTGCCTCTGCCACCCTCCTCCTCCAGGCTCCGCTCAGCCTCATTTCCGGCTGCGACTCGTCTCGCCTACGTCCGGGAGCGGTTGAGCCTCCTTCTTCTCCTCCGTGAAGCTTTCGGGCCGAGAGGATCCATCCTGGCGGGAGCGGCTCGTGGGGCTCCGATCGCGGCCATGGTGAGCGGGAGCTGGAGCTGGAGCGGGCGGACACGTGCGGGCGTGGAACGTTGAGACACCGCGTTGCAGCAGCCGAACGCTAGCGCCGGGCCTCGCCGCCCCGCCAGGCCGCCGGCCCGAGGGAGGCGGGAAGGGAGGAGCGGATCCACGCAGCTCCGGGGCCGGTGGGATCGGAGCTGGGCCGGCGGGTGGACACGAGGCACGCCGCCACGTGCGTGGGTAAACAGGCCCCTACAGCCCCACGTGCCGCCTCTGACCCTCTGCCTCCTCATCGCGCTTCCGGCGTGTCTGTCGCGCGCATACTGAGCCTTTCTCCTCTTGCAGCTTGATCTCCCCAGCCCCTAAGCGCTCTCTGTTCTGGTGCCTGCATGCAGTGCCCTCACTCCTCCTGCTAAGGGGTTTCTTGTTGAGTTTCCTCCCAGTGTCGGAGAGGTGAGGGGGAGTAACTACTGGTTTACTAGCTAAGCCAGTAGTTCAAAATTTTTCAGCTCGGTGCAGCTGGACAGACTGAAGGTAGCCCTTGGAAAATGCCAGCTCTTGGCTTTCAGTCTGAACTTTGACTCTAGGAGCATAACAGAGCAGTTTTTCTGTTGCAAAGAGCTGGGTTGTTGGTTGTAGTCCTGTTGGTCTAAGGACATAGGCAGACAAGGTTCTTTGGGTAAATCTGAAGGGACCTTGCATTTGAAATCTCTGGGCTTATATGATGAATTGTGTATGCAAACTTAATAGACTGTGTAGCACCCCATGGCATCCTTGAAAGGTTCACTGGGCACCCCAGGGTGCTGTAGTACCTTGGTTGAGAATTGCTGCCCAAGAGCCTTTTTTGTGTCTGTTGGCATAGAGCAGGGGTGGCCAAGCCCGTGGATCAAAGTTGTGCAGCTCCTGAAGAAAGTCTTTAATGATAAATGGCTACTTGAGATGGAACGCTGTGACGAGGTCAGGGGCTTGGGAGCGCACATGCTTTGAAAGTTTTTTGTCAAGATTTTTGGTGTATGGCTAAAAGAATTGGGAAGTTTGGCCACCCCTGGCGTGTAGGAATACAGGGCTAGCAGTACATGGAGGCTCTATTCCTTGGGCCTGTGCTGACTAGGAATGATAAGTGTAAGAAGCTGACAACTCTTTTTCCTGCTTCCTTGCTTATGAAAGAGAGAGCATGCAAGGAAACTTGTATCAACATCTGGCTTGTATTGTGTTTTTGGGGTATAGCTCTCAGGGCCTATACTTGACATGGCCAAGATCATCTGGTGGCAGGAGACTGGGACCTCTGCTGCCTTAATCCAGTGCTTCATAAATTGGGTTGCTTATCTTACATACCTATCACTGAAGTATATCTGGGGTGGAACTGGTATGCAACATGGCACAATATTGTGTAGGGGGAAATTTTGATCAAGGTTCCAAGGGAAAAACATTTTTACAGGTAAATGGTGAGATTCCCAGTGTCAGTGCCAAACAGAGGACCACAATAGTGTGTTTCATCCAAAGGAGCCATGAACAGACATCCTCAAAAAAAAAAAAAAAAAA